GCGCACCAGCTACGCCTATAGATTATAGTAGGATAACACTAAACTTTGAATTACCTTTTTACCCTCTTCACTTAAGCCTTAAGTTATGAAGTTTAATCTCACCAAATTTTTTTCATTTCCGTACCGTAGATTGAATTTTATTTGTTACAGATACTCTTTAGGTTGATACTAGACACCTTTGTGTAGTTACAACGTGATCAGTAAATAGATTTAACCGCTTAAAGATATATAAGAATATCAAGCGATCGGATTACCCTTAAAATGAACGTATATGCCGTCTACATATTTTGTTCACCTACATTGTTACATTCTTGTGCACTAAAATCCAACCATTGTATAAAGTATAAACTCTTTATATATAATCAAATGTCCGGAATTTCTCGTTTTTGGTTAATGCATTTTGTTCTACAAACAAACCGCCTAATTCTTGGCTCTTTCGCAGATAACATATTTCACGTTCTCAAACAAATGTAAAAATTTGAACCCACAAGCGACTTACATTAAATGACTTAAATTTATTAATTTAAACAATAATTCTGTGTACACTAATGAACAGTAACACTAATAACTATCAACATTCATAAATTACTAGAAGTGGTTCAAGACACTCGAGTACAAATACGAACAAAATTTTGTTGTAAACCCGTAGCGCTTGTTGGTGTAACTAAACTTTGTCACAAGGTGAAGCCAAAAATAAATCTCTGTTTTACAAAATAACCCAAAAAAATAAAAAAAAATAAAAAAAAAAAAACAAGTTTATGAACGCGCGCCTATGATACACGCGAGTTTTATCCAGTCAACTACACCTAGGGTCTCACTACTATATATTGCGACAACCCTTTGCTCATATTTTCACAACAAAAGCCACACTTAGCTTCTTTAACAAAGAAATTTTCTCTAACAATGCCTCCAAAAAAGAACCAATACCCTGTTGTTAGCAACAATGGTGTACCCCCAAAGCCCCCAGCTAAAGGGAGAAGGAGGCGTTCAGCTTACCCTCCCAAACCTAATGGCCCTTCCCCAAAGCGTAGCTTACGTGGTTTAGCTATGCTCGCCCATGCAGCAGCTGTAGAAGCTAAAAACACTCATGTGATGAACCCCATTCCAGTCCCTGTCGAACAGCAAGGGCTTGAAGTTGGAAATCCTGACCTCAACAACCCACCGGCCGATGGTAACGGGCCGGGTTATGAGGGTGGACTGGCTGAGGCAATTGTTAATCCAATCTTGGAGGCACCTCATCATGCTGTTGTGCCTCCTGAAGTAGCCATTCCGTTTTACTATGCTATGCAAGCTGCACAGGTTGGATATGGTCTCCCTCTGAACTACAATGGAGGAGTCCCGATGTGCACCATCAGGGTAAGGTCTCTTAATCTCAATGACCCCGGGATTATTTACAATCTTGTTAACAATGAAACCTTGTATCGTGTTTATGATGATTACGCTACTCGTGTTGATTTGAAGATGGAGGACATTGTTATTAAGAGGTTCAATGACATTGTCTCTCCATTCCAAACCGTGTTCTCCGCCGGACTCCAAAACGGGGACGTTCTTTCTGTAGAACCTAAGGTAATTTCACTAAACATTGCCCATTAAGTGAATGGAAACATGTGCATGTAGTTTGTACAAAGGCTGTAAAATTGTCTGCTAAATTAATATTGACAATAGTAAAAGTTAATTAGGCAAAATAAATACAAAACAAAACAAGTCACATCATATTAGCGCATCAATTAATGATCTTGAGTCCATTTTTTATAAATGTTCTTAAAAATTATTGTAGTATATTTACTTGTGATGGGAAATTTCTGTATGTTAATACGGTTATATATTGGTACGTATATGTAAAAGTACACGTTTTTGCCTTCGTAAACTGGTAATATATTTTTTTTAAAAGAAATGTAAAGCATGAAATACTAGACGTACCTCGGTGCTTTACAAATTATTAATGAAAATCTTAAATAATTGTTGTAGTACAAATTATAAGACGGGATTTCCAAATAATAATACTTGGCTGAAGTTTATTATGTGTATACGTCTAGTGTGACTTCCTAGTGTACCACAGTTTGTCACGGTTGGGCCAGTTAATCATGTTAATTAATGTTTATTATGATCTTGCAACATAGGACCCAGAGCGCAACGTCGACACGAGATTTAAAAGGTTCATAGTTCAAGACATGGGTAGCCCACCGATTGAGGAAAAGGTCAATGCACTACCTAATGCAGCTGTTGAAGGGGTGTATGCTTATTGGGGTGCCATGCAGAACATTGATCCTGATAATATGATTGGCATGTATAAGAACTCGCTGGTGACAAAACTTGATACCGTTCGTGGTCTGCGTATTAAAAACGGGGATCGTCTTTACATTTTACCCAACGACTGGAGGTTTCCGTAGAGAGACGTTAATCGTGGAGGAGGTGTTATTTCTATTCGAATGGAAAGCGAAATTAAGTTAAAAAAACTTTATTTTGGTGATGGTGCAATGTGTCAAAAACTATTTTAATTAAACATTGACTGTTAGTAGGTTATGCTAAAAGGTCGGTTTGAGCCTGATTTTTAAGAACTATGTGTATCGGCTAGGTGGCATCCTTAGTATTTTGTTAACAAGGTGTTGTCGTAACTATTAGATATTAAGTATTAGAATTAGGCATGTGTTATGGGTAATCATTGTTGATGTTAATGTGTAATAGTTTTAAGTATTAGGCTTGTTTTATAAGTAGTTATGTGTTGTGTGTGGTAGTGATTAAATTAAAGTACTAGCTAATAAATAAAGTATTGTTGTTCTATTATCAGAAGTTTGTTTTACATATGTGTGTCGCACATATGTCCAACCACTTCAGATTTGAGCCTGTCGCATGTTCTTGCTTTAAATTGCAAAAAACCCACTCACTAATATTACTAGATTAACCCTAAAAATCCAATGTTTTAGTATTAATTAGAAAATCAATTCGAATTTGGTGTTTTTTTAAATTTTGCACACCGGGTAAGGACCTAAGCTGTTGTATGTCATGCACCTAATGAAGTATAGCTTACAAAGCTGTAACTCGATATATTGCGGATTGAGGGGATGTGCAATTCATAACTTAATAAATTCCCCTACCAAACTGTACTGTCTTTGTTTATAAAAGCCACAAGAGGAGTAGTTTTTTCACAAATATTTCTCTTTACAAAGCGCACACTCAAAACAGAATCTATAATCAACTCACGACTTGTCATCTCCATGGAGGATGACAATGGGGCTGGTATGTCTCAAGAACGATTAACGTACGTCAAGTCCAAAATTTTCAATGGGCCAAGAGACAGGTTGATGGTACCAATTAGCCTTGTGGAGTTGGATCCACTTCTGCCTAGGTGTGCCTTTGGTCCATACAGGGGATCAAGGCCTACTTCACTTGATTTTGATGAAATGATCACAGTACAAATAAGGATCTTGGGAGAAAGTAATGTTGAACTTGTACAAGATTACGATTCAGAGTTATCTGTGACCAATCTTAGGTTGCTGAAGCCCTACATGTCTCCCACAAGTAAGCAAGGAATCGTGGACTTGAACTTGTCACCTTCCACACCGGAGTCAAAAAGGGAGAAGAGAAGATTTCACAAATTTAAAGGTGTAATGAAAAAGGCCAAGACTCTTGGTTCTTTATGGAAGGCTAACCCTTGGTTTACGGAGAGGATAATCAAGGAGAAGGCTGAAACAACAACCGCTTGTACTAACAAGAACGTTGTTAACAACAGATCCGGTCCGCCACCGACGTCTGCCTGTTGTGATGCGTAAGTTCCTCGTCTCCCCCGGCTCTAAGTTGCATGCAAAATTGTTAGGGATTTAGAATGCCTACCAGCGAAAAAATAAAAAAAATGGTTTAGACTAATGCTCTTTTTGCTTGTATGTTTTAAATCAGTATGTGTGGTTTATGGACTACATTTGATTTGCGTGTTGCTAGATTATATATGTCCATGAACTTCAATTGTGTCTCTAATGTGTAACAAGAATAGGCCTTAATTATGTACTGGGCTGGCCCATTTGATAATTTATTAGTTATGCTTTAACATTAGACAATGTATATTGGCAAAGGCCGCTTCAATACCTGTATTGGTCAAGGCCACTTGAATGTCTGTATTGGCCTAGGCTATAATAGATTTTGCAATTGGGTTGTCAAGCAGCACATTTCATCACTTATTAAAGACTGAATGTAATGGCAACGCGATATATGACGTATATAGTGGGCTGGGCCACGCGAGGCTAGTAACATAGTACATTTACCCAGCTCAATAAAAGTGCAACAAAGAAACAGTTCAAAACATTTTCAACAATAACAACTTAACAACAAAACAACTTCATACATAAAGAGAAACATGGATCTGCAATTAGAACGAGAGTGAGTACTCTGGTGATTCACGAACACTTTCGCCTGCAATGCTATGTTCCGGTGTTGTTGTCTCGAACCATAGTGACGCTTTGCGGCTTCCCTGCATAACCATGTACATTACTACATATACATATGTAAGAATTACTTGGTACGGGGTCAACCATGCACTGTAACTTAAACATACCTTCCTTTAACGCTTGTTCTCTCGGGTTTTCCTAGTCCATCGTGCTTGGCTTGTTCTTTGAACACTGTTGTTGCTCTGTGAAGTGACAAGTTTTATTAGAGTCACATCGTAATACACAACACACTAAAAAAAAATAAGTAACTCCCAACCACCATTTGAGAAACCATATTGGACGCTACCTTTTTTGTCACACCATCCTCCTTTTTCTTGTTCATCGATCCCTTTGGCCTGCCACGACCTCTCTTTGTGGGGGCTGCCATTTCCAAATACGAGCATTGAAGATACTATCCGACCCCATATTCATTATTTCATTGAACTTCAGTTGATGTTTCACCGGTGCAGTTCGCTTCTTGGATGTTCGGCTCATGGTCACAACTTCATCCAGTGTTTTTTTGCTTGAGTTCTTGGGCCTACCACGACACCTCTTTGTAGGAACTGCCTCTTCTGAGCTCACCTAAGTTGTTTCCGTGGCCTCTTGTGGTTTTCTCACGGGTGCAGTTCGCTTCTTGGATGTTCGGCTTAGGTTCACAACTTCATCCGATGCTTTTTTACTTGATTTCTTGGGCCTACCACGACACCTCTTCGTAGGGACTGGCTCTTCTGAGCTCTTGTTGGAAGTTCGCTTCTTGGAAGTTTGTTTCTTATAGCCTACTTCTGCGAGTCCTTTATTCCTCGATCCCTTTGGCCTTCCACGACCCTTCTTCTTAGGGAGTGGGTCTTTCACTGCAGGTCCACTGCTGGACTCAATTAAACCGCTGTGTGTTTGGGGAAAATCAGAAGACAGGTCAATTATTTCTGCACCTTCATCTGGACTACAACGGGGAACAGTTTGGTCCAGCTTCCGCTTACTACACTTGCGAACTACGGTTTTTAAGCTCTCTAATCTGTTCAATACTAACTCAACTGTGGAGTCATCTACCATCGCAGCCTCTTCACATATAGGTCCAAACACTCCCATGAGTTTGTTATGCCTTTTCACCTTGACCGTCTTGCTGGGGTCATGATAAGAAACCTTAACGTGTGTATGCTTCCTCATGATGTCCTTAAGCCACCGATTCAAGATGTATCTTTCAGGGATGTCCACAACATTGTTCAAGTCAAGAATCCTTATTGTGTGCCTACACATAATTCCAGATGTTTCAAATTTTGAGCAATCACAACATACAACTTTTGTGTCTAAGTTGTATGTAGCAGAATACAACCTGCGCCTATTAGTCAAAACTTCTTCACTCCTGCCTTCAGGAACTACCCAGACCCGGTCTTCCAACACGTACTGCATTAAAGTATCAGATATTTTGTTCTCTTCCCTAGGATAACAGTACATGATTCGGGAACACTCTGTTTGCACTTCTTGGAACTTAGTGTCGGTATAGAGTATTTGGAAAAGCTTTTCCACCGCAAAACCAGTCACAACTCTTCTAATGTACTTTGAACATTTCGCATCAGCTTCTACCTCGTCACGAACACGCTTCAACATGGCTTTTGCATATTTATTCGGAAATTCATACAATTTTGTATGTCGATTGACAAATCCATCGAAAAAACTATTAATACTCTCAACGCGTTGGGTTGTCTTCATACCAGCCCAAAAGTATTGTTTCATGAAAGTCGGAACCCACATATGATGTTCCTTATAGAGGCTTATAAGCCAATCATTTTTCCCCAGCTTATACATGTCAACAAGAGCACACCACCGAGTCTCAAACTCTTGTATTGTACAGCTCTCGTACACAGTTGCCTTTAACTTACTCTTGAATTCTTGGTATCTGTGACACAATTGCAATGGTTAGCTCGATTAATAGATTTCTTTGTAAGCTCATAAACATAGTATAACTTTAGTTGTTTTCCCGTACCTGTCGCATTTGCCAAGTTTTTCTGGAATCTTTCTCATTATGTGCCAAATACACCATCGATGTCTTGTATTGGGCATCACCTCCTCTAACGACCTACGCATGGCAGCAGCTTGATCTGTGAGGATTGCTTTAGGAGCTACATCATTCATACACTCCAGCCACTGCTTAAACACCAAATTATATGTGTCACAATCCTCATTGGTTACCAAAGCACAACCTAGCAGGATTGACTGGCCATGGTGATTAACACCCACAAAGTTGAGAAACGGGAAATCATACACATTTGTCGAATAGGTTGCATCAAAGCATACGACATCGCCAAATTCTTCGTACGCTGCCCGACTACGACCATCCGCCCAAATCACATCTTTTAACCTTCCATCATCATCTAATCGTACAGCATGGAAAAAATTTTGAGTCCCCGCTTGCATTTGTTGAAGATATGACATCATTGCGCATGAGTCACTACCTATCATTTTTAACCTTTTGCTCTTATACACCTCGTGTTCAAGATCTTTTACAGTGTATGACACCCCACTACTCCCACAAACCTCAGACCCAAGGCAGCCAAGAATTTGGGAAACAGGAACTCCTACATCATAATAATGGATCAAGGTCCTCTTCACATTAGGGGTCAAGCCCTTCATCCGGTATTCCTTCACAAGCTTCGAATCCTCTGGCTTTGGTGTGTGACCCGAATGTTCTAACTCTACACGCTTTATTACCCATTTTCCAGCTCGATCGACACTTGCATACACCTTAGCTTTACATTCACACTTTTTGGAACGCCTTTTACTACGACTCAATTCATCCTCTACCACCACACCACCTACTACACCTCCAGAACCACTCATACCCATCTCCTTTGCCCTTTTTTTGGCTTCCCTTTGCGCCCTCATATCGGGTCTCCCATAACACTCACACCTCCAAGTTATGGATATGCGTTCTCTCCTCCCCTCTTTCTTGGAAAGCACACCCTGTACCCGACTAACACCAAAACCCTGCTGCTCCGTATATTGTTTGTAGTATGCTTCTACCGCTTTCCAACTCGTAAAAATCATGCCGACCTTAGGTGGTTCAACGACACCCGTATCTTGATTACTACCCTCATCAGTCTCTTCTGTCTCAACACATGGAAAAATTTCACCCCTGTTATCATCACAAGGCGACTCATTACACCTAACCCCACTTCCCTTGTCTTGTACCCCAATATTAGCAGCAGGAGAAAACTGACAATCCTCCATCGTCTTACAGTAACACCAGAGAAACTTCACATACACACCTCAACACAACCACAATAACAGAGCAACTCTGCTTTTCATAAAATGAGTGACAACATTACGCGTGGTTGTATAAGTTTCGTGTAAAACAAATTATCTGCATAACATTATTATGTGATAGATCTACCAACTTCTGATCTACAATAAAGCATTAGTGTACATGATCTATGAGCTAACAATGCGCATAAATTCTTCTACATAAAATTAACACCAGAACTTCAACATTAAATCTTAATCTAGTATGAACTTCAACATTAGTAACAAATCTACAATAATGAGGGATCTATATAAATCATCATCATTATTGAAACGAATATTGCAAAAGGATTAACTAACCTGGACTACAGAGTGCAATGTGCATCACCGACACTTCTCGCTAATCCCCCATTCACATCTGTTTGCACATCCGGGGTTTCATTATGTCTTCCTTCTTCTTTGCTAATCAGAGTATATCGAGCTCTGAGTCGAGTAACCCTAACAAAATGGAAGAGCATGATATATATTCATGTTAGAGTGTACTGTAACGTAACGGCAATTAGGTGTGGCTTCAAAACGGCGTAGTTAGGCAAAGTCGTAGACCCCGTCCATCTGTAACAAAGACACGTCAACAAGGTGACAGCATGTACATACGATGTGGACAATATACTGTTCAGGGTATTTACCAAACTGCCACAAGATGAAAAAAACCCGTTCATCATTATGATGAATGGGGGGCGCCCCTTTTAAAACCCTTCATAAATTAATTAGAATAAGCTGAAATTATATTTAAAACGCCATAAATTAAGTCCCAATTAATGGGTAATTAAGATTTCTTCAAGAAACCCAATATCAAGTGTTCTACATAAAATTCCAGCACTTTATTATACTTAAAACTTGCTGTAATTTGGTTTTAAAACACTTAAAACAAAGGCCTACCCTATTATACATCATAATCTTTCAATAAATCATGAAACAAGAACCTAGGGTTTCAAAAATTGGGGCTTTTTAATTAAAAACCAAATCTGGAAATTAATTCCCACAATTACAATAACCAAACATCAAAATTAAACCTCCAAACTCATAATTTATAATTAGATCTAAGCATAGAATAAATTAAAATAAGAAAGCTAAGTTTTTTTTTATTATTATACTCGAAAAAGGGGTAAAAAGAGGAGGGAGAAAAACGGCAGCGGCGTGGCCACCTGCTGCCGGCAGCGTGCGCTGCTGGCAGTGGCGGCCACCAGCTGCCGGCGGCTGGCAGTGGCGGCCACCAGCTGCCGGCGGCTGGCAGTGGTGGGGGAAAAGGGGCAGCCGAAAAAATAAGGGGAAGGAGAAAAGAAAAAGAAAGGAAAATAAGGAGGAGAGAGAGAGAGAAGTTTACCTTGGGTTTTCTCCACTCTGGGCAAAGTTGATTTGCCCCATAAGAGGGATATTTATACCCCTTCTCTATCTCCCCTTTTTACCCTAACTTTCCTCCTTTAGTTTTTCCTAATCCCTTCCCTACTAAAACTTGTTAAAAAAATCATAATTTCCTAAAATAAAACCCCAACTTCTATTAATTAATTAATTAAACGGCTTTTCGTTTTGTAAAATATTCCAAATTTACATGGGATAAATAATTAAAACATCATAATTAAAATACTAGAGTTATTTAAATACCCTTATAAAATATATATATTAAATAAAATACGTATAAAGTGTATATACATTAAATAAAATACATATAAAAATACAGGGTATTACAAGAGCGGGCACAAGAATGTTATGTGACTGAAACATTCCCTTACAGTTGAAGGGAAAATTCTACAGGATTGTCATAAGGCCCATAAGACTAGTGTTAGAGTCTGTTCTCATTGACTGAGCTCAACTGAATTGAAATGAATTGAAATGAATATTTTATAAGAGAAGGAAATTAGGAGCTGAACTGAACTGAGCTGAGCTGAACTGAACTGAATTGAATTTCAACGTAAGAGCAGGCCCTTATTCTATGGTACAAAATGTGATGCAAGAACACTATAAGACATATAATCAGAAATGAGATTGTTCGCAAGAAAGTAGGGGTGACAGACATTGCAGACAAACTAAGAAATAATCGTCTGCATTGGTTTGGACATGTAAGACAGAGATCCGATGGTGTACCGGCAAGAAGAGTAGAAGAGTGGGACCATGGAGAGGTCAAACGAGGGAGAGAGAGAGACCAAAAATGACTTGGTTGGAAGGATATGAAGTATATGAATTTCTGTGAGGATAAGACGTTGGATCGTAAGGGATGGAGGAAGATTCTTGTCGATGATTACACGGAATAATCGCTTTTAGTTCATGTACTCAACCCCACTTATGGGATTAATGTTTTGATTAATTGATTGATCGATCTAATTTCCTTTTAGCCATTTTATTATCGGTATTATCTAAAAAAAATTAAAAAAAGAATAAATAAAAGCTTTCCACCTAACCTCATTTGCAGAATGTTTTATAATAAATGATCAACAATTACACATTTAATACACGGAGTTTAATTTGGCAAAATTAGGGAGTTCATATGTAAATGCGTCTTAGGCATATATATATTTTCGTTGTTATTCAAGAATGCATGTCTTAGGTCTTAGTACATATAACTAAATAAGCTGCGTAGAAGAAGAGTATGGTTATCAACAGGAAGGTGCATATTGCATCTTGTAGGCCAGAAGAATTACAAAAGATACTGCAGAACAAATTCTAAGACAAGACAATTTTAAGCATAAAGCATTAAGTTTTAAAATTCATACTGCTAATTTGGGATTCAATATACTCCCTCCATCCCTAAATTACATTCTTGTTTGTAAAATTACACGGGAATCAAGGAGGAAAGAATAAAACAAATAACAATAATGAAATATTTAATGGGAAATACAAAACATTACATGATGTCTTTGAGTAAACAAAGATAGATTAATGATTAATGATATCTTGTCATCAATCCTTTGACAAAAAAAAAAGACCAATAACATGCTTCTAATTGAAAATTAAGAACCAATCATATTCATTAGGTTAGTTATGAGAAAGTACAAACTTGAAAAAAACGATGGAGAGAGAAAATAAGAGTGAGATTAGGATAGTAAGAGTGAGAAAGCATTAAATATACAACAGAAAAAGAGAATTGATTTGGGATATTTGAAAAAAAAAATTACTAAAAATGAAAAGGAGGAATGTAATTTTGGAATATCCAAAATAGATTCCAAGAATGTAATTTAGGGATGGAAGGAGTAATTAATAGACAAATGTTTGTTTAAAATGAACTTTACAAGTCATATATATTATGTAGTGATTTGTAGTATGTGAATTTTGAAATTACACAGGGAAAGGAAACTTCTATGAACAAACAGGAAACTTCTATGAGCATACCAACTTCCAAAAGAATAATGTAACAATATTAATATTTTAAGCTATCAAAACAGGGAATTTCTTCCTTGAGGTCTCCAAGAACGTTCCATTTATTTTACCTCTGAGCAATTACTTGGACCAACAGGTTCTCTTAAGCAATAAGATATAGCATTAATGGCAGCTTCAATCGATGCATCTTCTCCCTACAACAAATACAAAATCAAGGAGTCATGCAGATTCAGTTGGGTAAGGGGCAACAGATTAACCGAGACATGAACCCCTAATAGATACCTAACTAGCTATGCAATTCGACATTTACGAAACGACATGATTAAAGTAATCTCCGCTACATCACACAACCAAAAGTCCAAAACTACCTGTCCCTGAACTTGACATGTAAAAGATGGCAAACAAAAGGTATTGCTTTGAGATTGAAGGGACTTTCACCTGTTCTTTCCAGTAGAATATATTTCCATATTTCCCAGCCAAACGACTCCAGAAACTACGCGGTATGTCAAGATCAACTTGAGCTCCCACATTGAAATTCAATATATTCCCTATCAATCAGTTGCATTCTAATCATATAATGTACCAGCACAAGATTTATTCAAGAGGAGTTCCAAAAACAATATTTTTACCAAAAGTAGGATCAGCAACAAAGACAATTGTTCTATCATCCACTTGCCAAAAATCCTTGATAGCCAACCCTGTGTGAAGACTATGGTTATATTCTTCTATAAAGTTATGCCAAAAATTACTGAAAATCAGAAAATGTAGACTTCTAAGAAAAATTATAACTTGGAGGGGGTAAAAAAGCAAGGAAAGAAAGCTGTGGCTACCAGGCGTATCTGGGTAATTTTGCGCCAAGATTCTCAACTTGAATCCTGTATCTTTCTCAAGGTCAGCAATCTCCTCTGCAAGCCTCTTTTCCTGGAAAATTGTCATTGCAGTATGAATATTCACTTCCAGGTAAAACTTATTGTTTTGCCAACAGTATATGCTGTACGCTCTGTATAATAATCTACAACATATACAATCAAAGAGCCAGAGATAGTTTATCCTCTTTTGCAGTAATTCATGAGGGCATCCATTCCATTTACATTAACCAGTGACTAATCACCAATGTACATTTCTATGCTTAAGGTTAAATAAAAAGATACCAGGCTTCCTTTTCTTAAAACTTGCTTATGAAGTCCTGACTCCTGAGTTAACAGTTGAAGTAGATCTCCAGCATTTCAGCTTTTGTTTGGGACAAAAGAATCCTAATGTGATTTACTTCTAAGAACTATTTTTTATGATGAGGTTTGACTATAGAACCCCCTAATAGCCCCCATATCGGCAGCAATATAGAATACTTCACAATAGTATATTAGTATTAACTTCCCTAACTGTATTTCTTTAGTTGTAATAGTGCCTAAAATTAAGGTTATAAATAGCCATGGATGTAATCAATAGAACTCAGGCTTTGCAAATGAAAAATAAACAAACACTTTGAGTGTTCTTAGGTTGAATTATGTAATTTAGATGGAACACTACAAGTGGGGGAAGGACCAAAGGAAGGGGGAAATTGTAGAAAGGAGATTAACACTGTTAATGCAGAACAAAAACTTTAAGGAATATGAAGTGCAAGAAAGATTTTTACATAGAAACTTCTTTTGCCAACCAAGAAGAAAAACCACAAACCACTCGGGATTTAAACTCTACTATTTTCACTTTAATAGGAAACACCTTGCAACTTACTCCCTCTATCCCTATTGGTTTGCCCTATTTCATTTTTCATGGTTTCGAGATGCGTCTTAAAACATAAATATTTTCAATTCTATACACGCAAAATTCATAAAACTTGATATTGAGATGAAACTCTTATTAGTAGACATTGTAACGAATCTAACAAGATCCCACATTACTACACTATTTCTTATAGATTAGTGAGGATTTATAGTAAAAAAAAAAAATTAATTTTGAGCCCAAAACATACAATGGGGCAAAAAATAAAGACAAATCGAGTAAAAGGAAATCAAGCCACTCGTGAGTTCCAAAGTTCCCTCAAACCCTTACTTAACTCATCCCAGATACACACTTGATAATTGGTTAAACTCGTATAAACACACTCATGAATATTTAGGAGCTTGGAATTTGTTTTATTGGTTAAAGTTAGTGGATAATAAATATACTAGTATTTCTTTGTGATACACTTTCACTTGATAATTATGGAATGTACGCAAGTCAAATAATTAGTTTGTTTGAGGTTCGATGAATTCTATAAATATAGAGAAGCAATAAACTCAGCTCACAACCTACTTCCCACGCTCCACAACAATCATGTTCCCATACTCTTAGGACATGATCCCACGCGATGAGGGTAACATGCTAACTTGGTCACCGAATGCTAGGAAAATCTCAACTAATTTCCTCAAAATTAGCCACTATATAGATCAAATTAAAAACGTGATAAAAAGGAAATTTGAAAGGGGGGGGGGAAACGTTGACTACCACATTAGCTGACATGCAACGAGATTTCCAAAAACTTCAAACATCTTGCGCATTAGTAAGGTACCACTAATCAATCTCATCAACAAGATGATGAACAATTGGATGGTGGAGATGATGATTGCAATCCATTACACCAAGCCGATGGTGAAACTTAATTACTCAAGTAGAGACACATTGAATTAGTGGCGAACCCATTGTCCTTAACACTATTGCCAAAATTTGTTTCCAAGTGTATTGTTGAATTTGAAGACTTGTCACTAAAGTGTGACAATGTCGAGTCGAAAGACCAAACGATTGCAAGATTCTTGACAAGCTTGTATTAAAAAATCTCAAAAGTTGTACAACTCTAAGTCTCCAACTATCAACGACGTCACCAAACTTGTTTTAAAAGTTAAAAGCCAACATCTAAAGAAGAAGATGGATTTAAAGTTTTCTCTAAGGAAACTTCATCGCAACGAAAACGGTTGAAAATTCTAAACCGCAACCAAAGCGATTTAAAATACTTAAGGCCAACTTTAGGAACTGCGGCGAAATATTTTTCAACTAATTTTGTGGTGGTATTAGAGTTGACCTAAAGTATCCTTAGGGACAACTTTGAATCTCGTCTTCTCCTTCACATAGCTTTTAACTTTTAAAACAAGCTTGGTGACATCGTTAAATAACCAATATTTTTTGAGTTGTACAACTTCAGAGATTTTTAATCCAAGCTGATTAAGATTCTTTCCAACCATTTGTTCTTTCAGCTCGGCGTTGTGATATTTTATTGACAAGTCTTCAAATTCAGCAATACATTTAGAAACATATCTTGGCAATAGTGACTAGTGAAAAAAAATTATACTTGAGTTCACGCTTCAATTTATCCAATTTACAAATTTTATTACGACCTTCTTGTTCTCATTGCCAACTTAGATTTTCCCACCAAATGGATGCAAGCTTCTTAAATATTATGGCGACTAACTTGACATTGCGATCGGGTAGGATATCCTTTAAATCAAAGACACGTTCAACTGTGTGGAGCTATTCGATGAACTCATCTAAATGAGAACCTCCAATTAAATCAGAATTTTCAACTTTAATTCAAAAATTCCTTTTCTAGGTATCGAGGATAATGGACTTGACGGGAATTTGATGTTTTTCCACTTAATTATCACCATCGGTTTGCTGGAATGGATTGAAATCATCATTTGCACCATCCGATTGTTCGTCGTCTTGTTAATGGGATGAATTAGTGGTAACTTCATAATGTGCAAGACGTTTGAAGTTTTTAGATTTCTCTTCTATGTGAGCGTGTCATAAACAGGGTGTAGTTGATGATTTTCTCCACAACAAATAAATAAAATCTATAACTACACTCTCTATACACATGTTATTCACTTTCTTTTTGCCATTTTTCAAACCTAATATAAGGCTAATGCCTTATTTGACAAATCTAGCGATGGTGGGTAGGGTTTAGAAATCGAGTAGCGGTCAAAAAGTAACTATCAGTAACTATCGATTAGTAGTAGGTAGAGATTAGCTATCAAAGTCACGATTGATTCTATGAGTGTTAGGCAAAAGTAACGGTTAAAATATTATAATTCAATTTTTTACAAAAATACACATACATATTGCTTAAAAGTAACCAAAATTGGACATACGTTACCCGATCCTTTTAAAATGGTAATATTTTTAACGCACTAACCGCTACTTAAATCACTACTTTGTACAACTCTCTATTTTTTTCCTAGTAACGGGTCACTACCTCAACCGCCAAAAGGGGCCTAATTTAAAACATTATTTCTCTTATAAGGTGATAACATTGCTATGGGCATGAAAATCAGAGTCTTCTAATAAAAATTTTACAAAAATAAACAAAAAAAATGTAATTTTTAAGAGACAAAATGAGGTGTGAGAGAATTACCTAGGAGGGGTAAGATTCATGTAAACAGGTGTAAGATTATTGGGTCCTTAGCAATGGGGTGGGACGAAGTGAAGGTGATGGCGCGATGGAGTACAGTGGTAGGGGTTATGGTGGAGGTAATTTTTTCTTTGGGTGGGGAATTCAAGCGAGGGGAAAGTGGTAGGAAAACGGTGGGGTAGTATGGTGGCCAACATTATGTGGGTGAATAAACCAAGTTCTACAATGATGAGTAGTGAAGTAGCGTCATTGGCCTTGTCAACATGAGAACTTCAATGAAAGGTGGCCGAAAGGTTAAATAAGCCTTTTAGTACCAATTTGACACCGTACTGACTAGGGGTAATGGGGTAGAATAACAATAGTCAATCACCACACTGCGACGATACAACTCTTTTAATTTATGGACAAAGATCACCACTAGGAAGTAGCAGAGAAAAACCTTGGATATTGTAACACCACCAAGAGGTAGCCTTAGAACACTAAGTGTTTGGTTACTTTTCATATGCAAAACTTGACTTTTACTAATTACATCCATGGCTATTTGTATCCTTAATTTAGGTTTATTACAAGTTTACAACTAAAGACTTAAATGCAGAGAAGTTGATACTATTGGGAAGTTTTCTATATTTCCAACATGGTATTACTTAAGTTTTCTATACTTGCAGGGTGTTATTGTATCCATCATTTCTCTCTACCACTTCCTAGTGGTGTTTCTATATCTAGGAATTAATAAAGTTGTATTGCTACAGTAACCAACTGGCATGGTGATTTGGCCAATTGTATCCTCCCCCTAACCAGTGAGTGTCAATAAAGGAAACAAGGAGGCATAGATTAAAAACTTCAAGAGGCGATGTCCCACTTAAGTAAGCTGAAGTATGTCTTTCCACTAAACATAGTGTTCTGGATATCGTCTATATTGGTTTGTTACCAAAAGTCATCTGCCCTAATCACAAAGAACTCTGACAATGGTCATTGCAGGACACCAGTTAGACCAAAAGCATACGATAACTCTGATGCGAGTATCTAATTGATAAAGAAAATATTCCACAGAGGAGCAGCTCAACATGTCAATAGTTAAATCCTAGGCAGTTGCATAATATAGATTATAGCTTAATAAGAATGGAAAGATAGCAGACCTGCCCAGCAGAAAGGAAGCCAGCCACATCAATAACAGCAGTGTATTCTTTAGGGAGCATTTCAGGTTTATTAACACCTGTTTTGGCTTCAGCATACTCAACTCCTACAAAAAGTAATACATAATCCAATTTCAGCTGCTTGAGAAAAGAAAGGTATCCAGCAAATTGCATAACTAACCACCAAAGATAGAATTTTCGTAAAACATATACAGTGTCCAACATAAAGATCCAGGAATTACCAAGGTAGATGCATCAAGATCATGAACTTCTTACTATGCTTCTTATGGTTATGTACAATTAACAAAAAAAAATATTAATCATAATAATTTGAAGTCAATGCTTCATCCCGGACAAGGAACCTTTTTTTTATCTACGAAGTTGTTGAAGTAATTAATCACTTGCATATGTATATTAATTTCATCAGATTAAAGAATGTCAATAAAAAAAAATTATACAAAAAGAAAGTCAAATCCAGGAGAATTTGTTTACCTAATCCCTCAGAAGCAGTGAAAAAATTTAATATTGCCTAACCATAAAAACAGAGCCCTAACCTACTGGGTGAACTCATGTAAATGAATTATTTGCAACAAAAGTTGACCAGAAACTGTTCAAGAGCTGAAGAGTTTGGTCGGTCTGTTAAAAAACTGTTAGGGTTACAGGCCATTCCAGTCCTTATTTAGCTTTTCAGTTTCCACCTTCTAAAATCCAATGCAATACCAATGAAATATATATGCTCCTGGTTATATGGAGTCTGTCACTATATATATATATATATATATATATATATATATATATATATATATATATATATATATATTGGGCAACAAATGCCTACTATCTTCTTCTTTCCTTTTCTGCAGAGGATGTTTTATACACGTAACTATGTGTTCATCATGTCCTATGATTTAAGAGGTTACTTTGAAAATTACCTGACTGTCTTTTCTAATGAAATAAGGTTTAACTTTAATAATGAAGACAAAATAACTTTTGAAGGAAGAATCCAGTATGCATTCTCAAGGTTGCCACTAAATAACTGCTAAGGTTAAGTTTTGGTAACGGAAAATTGCTAGGACCTGGTGAGATGATCAAACTATTATAGTATATTCTTGTCATAAAGTTATGAATCCATAGAGTTCCCTAAGAAGAAATGAGCTTACAATGATATATATGTTATAACTTTGAACAAAATAAACCCCTTGCTCACTAAAGCTTCAGCCTCAAGATATGCACCATTTTTTCTAGAGCCGCAAAGAAGGCTTCCGCTCAACAACCCATTTGATAGGCAGTAACAAACGATGGTAATGACAGTGACTAAATTCTTATGTCAATGACCATATTAATGCTTATCTATTCCCGATTATACCCCCACAGCCTCAAATATGTGCTTTTCTTCATAGACTACCATTACCATTATAAGCAGCATCACTCCAAGAGCTTGTATTGAAAATCAAGGAAGTGAAACACAGAGTCAAATGTTGAGAAGCATTACCATAGAAATTGCCATGGGACATCTCTAGCAATTTTACTTCTTAATAATATGTTTTTTGTCAAATATCAACACCCAACAAACGAGTTATAAAGGTAGAGCACAAAAGGACTAATCCGAATTTGGGAAGCCAAATCGGACTACAAAACCATTTACCTATTGTACTTCTATGTTGCAATAATACAAACCATACCCAAAATCTATGTCACTCGCACTTGATCACACATGTTGGATAACAATTGTCCACCAAAGGAGGAGTACCTGAGTGTCCAAGTCTGACTATGTGAAAAAATTTGTTGGATACCTAGAGTTTCAAGTAACATAGCTCATGCGAGGCTTGTGTATTCACCGGATTTTCACTTATTCCAAATAGTTCAAATAAAGATTAATAAAGTTCAAGGAAAAATCAGACAAGTGCAGATAAGCTACGTAGGCTACCTAATTTTAATTTACAACTAAAAACAAGCTTTAACAGTGCAAATTAAAAAAAAAAAAATTAAAAAAAAAACAATTTCATTTCATTCGTAAGTTCAAGACTTCAAGCTGATGCTCTTATCCAATAAATCATCAGCCAACACAAAAAAGTTAAAGAACAGCTAAAACAATAAATAAATTAAAAAAAATAAAAAAAAATAAATAAAAAATTAAAAAAAATTAAAAAAAAAAAGAAAAAAAAAAAAGAGGAGGAGACTTAGCAATTACCATTAAAAGAGAGTGCAAGAGCAAGAGAGCTAGAAAGAGCAAGTTTCAGAGATTTGGACCCAACTTCAGATACCCATTTCTTAAATTGGATAAATTTTACTTTTGGGATAGCAGGAGTTGTCATTCGAGCAGTTAATTTAGCCGGTCTTCCGCCATTAACAGCCCAGGGAAGATGGCGGACCGCCATTGTTTTACCTTGAAGAAGTGGGATAAGACACAATTCCAGTATTCTGTTTTTATTTATTTTTTATTTATTTTTTTATTTGGGCCTGATAGCCCATTTTTTGTAACGCACTAACGCCTCTAATTTACGGAGTATTTAGTTTTTGCCTTTTGGATGTCACAACTCACGACTCATCTCGGTGGTTCGAGGGTTAGAAATAGTCAGCACGCTAGTGGCCCGGCATGGCACGAGCCCGCAGGTGGCACGGCCCGGCACGGCTTGGCACGAGCAACAGCTATATTTCCCAACAACTCTAATTTAACGGCTAGTTTTTGCTTTCTACCGGCTAATTTTTGCTTCTAACGGTTAATTTCTCTAATTCTCTGTAAATACATCAACTCATCATCCTTTTCTTTCCACAATTTATCTATTCTCAATTCTCTAAATAATCTTATAATCTTTAATTCTCTAATTCTCTCGAATTCAATTATCAAACATCTTACAAAAAAAATTAGAAGCTCGTGAAATTATTTAGTGGAAAGCAATCGAAGCCTGGTTGTAAGATCTAATTTATCTTTATTTTAATTTATTATTGTTATTATATTGTTATTGTTATTATTGTTATTGTTATTGCTTTTGTTATTATTATTCTTATTCTTGTTATTATTGTTATTATTACTTGTACTATTATTATTATTGTTATTAATTATTTATTTTTTGTTTAAAGTAATTGTGGTATTTTTAATTATGGCATCAAACCCGAACCCCTCTTCCTCCTCCTCAACGACATCCCAGATTTCTCAACATCATCCACATAGCTTCACTTATAATTATGAGAGGGATAGGGATGAACCTGTGAGAATGTTAATACATACTGAACAACCTTTTCTCTTTGCCGAAAATGATCTGTTTAACAATTACATTAGTAGAGCACTACAACCCCAACATAAAAAAATCTCTAGAAAAACTGTCCGTTCAGTTGCCATGAAAACTTTTTTAGAGTATAGAATGAGGTTAGCTAAAGAATTAAGTAATCTTACTTGTAGAGTTTCTTTGACCGCAGATGCATGGGATAGTAATTATGGATATTATTATTTGTGTGTGACTTGTCATTGGGTGGATAATGATTGGTTATTACAAAAACGCATTATTCATTTTAAAATGCTAGAATACCCACACAACGGTCTTAATATTTCTCATCATTTAACGCATGTTATTGATGCATATAATCTTAAGCCCAAAATCATGTCTATAACATTTGATAATGTAACATCCATAATATTTAATGCAAATTTAGTTAAACAACAATTGACCGATGTCATATTAGATGGAGATGTACACCATATTGGATGCATTTGTCATGTTATTAATTTGTGTGTGAAAGATGGAACTAATGCAATTGGTCCATTTTATCACAAAATTAGAAATGCTATTATTTCTATTAACAGTTCTAACACGAGATTTAAGGAATGTAAAACTTTTCTTAATCAGCAAAAAATAAAGGTTATCAAAATCCAAACGGATTGTCCAACAAAGTGGAATACCACGTACAAAATGTTGAGTAAGGCAATCGAGTACAAGGTTCCACTAACAGTTTTTTTTAATCAAAAGTTTCCACAATTTGCTTTACTAGAAGAAGATTGGTCTTATTGTGAAAAATATATGCAATTTTTTCAATTATTATACAGTATGACACATTGTTTTTCTTCAATTTATAATCCTTGTTCTCAATCTTTTCTTAGCAATGCATGTTTACTTGCCCAACTTTTCGCTGAACATCGATCTCAACAAGATTATGATGAATATCTTCCATCAATGGAGGAAAAATGGCGTAAATATTACCCAAATCTTCCTATGATATATATTTTTGCTTCTATATTAGATCCTAGGCAAAAGTATGATGGCACATTTCTATTAATTGATATATATTTTCAATTCATGCAATTTGATGATGATGTTGAGTCTTATAAAGCTAATGTGACCGATCAATTTTTTGCATTGTATAGAGTTTATGAATCTAAATATGAAACCGTTTCTCGATTGGCTCTTTTTCAATCATCCAAAACCGTAAGTAAAAGGACCAAAGATTTATTTGCACAAGCTGCTAACATGATGTCTAAGTTTTCAGGTAGTGAATCATCGTCTAGGAGAACACAAAACGAGGTTTCGGAGTTGCAAATGTACTTAAGTTATGACTTCATGAAAGGCATGGACGAAGAAGAAAAGTACGGCCTCAACCTCCTTGATTGGTGGAAAGCACATAGCACAAAACATCCAATTTTGGCAACAATGGCATGTGATATTTTCGCTATCCAAGTTTCCTCCATTGCCTCCGAACGAGCTTTTAGTGCATCAGAAAGGGTTTTAGACGATAAAAGAACAAATCTAAAACCTGAAACACTTGAAATGCGTGTGTGTCTCAAGGATTGGTTGGATGCCGAATATCGCTCGCAAGATCATACCTATGCACAAAACGACAACGATGATGAAATGTCTACTTCTGATCGCTCGGATTCTAACAGTTCTCAACCAATTTAACTAGGCAACGACTTCGAAGAAGAAGAAGAAATGCAATTAGATTAAATACTATTAACCATAGATATTTTTTGTATTAATGTACCCCGTATAATAAAATAAGTTATTCATCAATTATTATGCGATTGAATTAGATAGGATTGTTGTTGTAACCAAATAATTAAACAATCTTTTAAGCAATAATAATATGTTGTATGTATTCCTTATTGTTAAATACTATATATACTATACTTAGATTCTTAATTAGTCATGGGTTCCTCGATTGATCAAGGGTTACCTATTTACTATTTTGGTGTGTGTCAGCCGGCCGCACACGCTATTTTTTCGACCTATTCATACATAAAATTCATTATCCATCCTACTAACTTCTCCTTATTGCAAAGTAGTTACTTAGTACTTTAATTTTTTTTTTTTTTTTTGACAGGTACGTACTTTAATCGAATTCACAGGCTGACAAAATATCAGTATCTAGATAGGCAATACAGAAAAACCCCCTGGTCTAACTTGAGATAATTTAGTAGGCAAAAATTTATCCAGATTATATAGATAAAAACAGAAATTATAGTTTTGTACTGCACACACTTTCCCCTCAAGCCCTAAAGGGCTAAAAGAAATCAAAGAGATGCTCCGGAAAATTAGGCGAATAACATGACAAAGCAGTAGGATCACACAACAAGTCTAAATGACCAAATAACATGGCAAAGCAGTAGGATCACACAACAGTCTAGGGAAAATATACAGGCCAGTTGAAGTAGTAAGAGTCTCGAGCATCTTTGTCCATGTATTCATTCCACTGCAACACAAAAGAAATAAAAATTTGAACAAAGACTATTCATAATCGTATACCACCATCTCTAGCCTAGCATATAAACTCAAGCAACAAGTAATGTACCTTGAATTTGTAAGGTTGCTTCTTAGCCATGGCCTTCTTCCAGTGATGCTGCTCATACAACATAGCTTTATCATGCCAACTACAAATTGCAAGTTACAGCATGAGAACATTGACCAAATAAACTTGACAAATTACGTAATACCAAATATTTATATACCAATACAAAAGAAAAATGAATGGAACATCTATACTAATAAAAACTTATGAAGGAAAAAAAGTTACCATTTAGTAACAAGTCAGGCTGCATAAAAGATAAAAATATACAACCGCAATTAGCTTTTCAGGCAGCCAAAAGCAGCATTTCAGTGACCCAAAAATAAAATTATAAGCCTTTATTATACAAATACACACCATAAAAATTCAAAACAGTTTCAGATTTACAACCTAGTCCTACAGTAGGGACTATAGACAAGAACAGGAGTTTTCTTCTAAAGAACTTAAAAGACTTGGGAGTTTCAGCAGCTTCAGGAGATCAGCTACCTCAGGACAGAATGCAAAGGAGTTAATTCCCCCAAACAATTATAAATGAATATCACTAAATAGGTACGTGGGATAAACACAAGTTCAGACATGCTCAAGCATAATCTTTCAACAAATATTTGCGCAAAATCAAGCTAAACCAGCCTTTTATCACAAGCAGATAAAGAATCCTATAGCTTCCAACCACCAAGAAAAAGATAATATCCAACTAATTCTTCTCTATTTTTAGTAAACTAATATTTCCCTTTGTACTAACGAACTCCACAATAAAAGCGAAAAAACAATAAGGAAACTGCAGCACTCCCAATCAGAACTATGAAACTGGTGTCTTTTTTGCATTAATAACCACTTCACCAACAGCAATTTTTCTCTACATTGTCATAGACTATATACTGAAAGTACGTCAAAGCAATCACCATCAGTAAGAATGCTAATGTGGGGCATAGTTGAAGTAATTTTTCTAAACATAAGCAATCATATCCCTAAAATCCAAGATGGTCAAATCCAGGCACCATGTTTAACTTCAGAGAGGGATTTGAACAGGGGGTTTCTCCTACATTGCAGTTGGACAAAGTACTTTAAGTCTTTCAAAATTTAAAGAAATGGAGTTGAAATGACCATCCAAAAACACATTGAATTGGGAATAAATAATTTTCAGATCCCTAAATAGGGAATTTAAGCCTATAATTTATTTGTACATACCACAAATGAAAACTACACTATTGCCTATTCACCACCAAGTCACCAACAAAGCTGTATTTTATTTCTCTGTTATCTTTTGGGTAGTTGAAATACTAGTCATATAACTCAATGCAAAATTAACAGAAATGCAGGTTTAAAGCGAGGAAATTTATAGATTAAAGAACAGAAGGAAATTGAAAGAATTAATATAAGGTATGCCGCATGTTTCTCTTTACTCCTCACTTCTCTATATTCTCTCCTCTATCCTTCCCCTCCCTTTCCCCTCCATTTTTATTTTTCACCATTATTTTTCTATAATCATTTTTTCCATTTAAGATTGTTTTCTTGATAAAAAAACGTTCCTGAATTTTTTATCTATCAAAACAAACAAAGCCTAAAGGATAATCTGAGTAGAAACAAAATTGAAAATGATTTTAAATTGAAAAAAAAAAAAACGGTGAAGATATTAGCTTCAATAGTCAAAAGTGGAGGAAGATTCATTGATTAAAGCATTACACTAAGAATCTTAAAAGGCATAATTTAGCCAACTAAGGAGAGGACACTGAACTTTGAAGTATTAACAAATTCTATGAAATTTCATAGTTTCAATTTCATATTATATCTAAAATCACCCTCAATATGGTCATTTATTAACACCTACTAAATGGGATGTAATAGTCTCAAGTGAAGCATAGAAAATCCTTTCCCCAATTGTAAGATACATGCTACAAACAAGATGAATTATAACATTATCCAAACAAAGCATTAAAATAACAGTGTGAAATGATTTTCAAATCCTTCGCACTACATTAAAAAGAAATAAAATTAATCATGCAAATCAAACAACACACAACTGCATTCATTATTACTCCAAAATCTATAAAACCAACAAACCCCAATTAAAAAAAAGGGGGGGGGGGAATTGGGGAATTTCAAGAGATAATTAAAGCAGAAAAAAAAGGGTAAAATGAAAGCAAAATAATGAGCAAGAAAAGAAAGAAGAAGAAAAAAAAGGAGAAAGGGATTAGAAACAGAACTTCCATTGATTGGTGAGTTGCCACATGTAGGGATTGAACCAGGCAAGAGCAGAGAAAGCAGCGGAACCAATCCAGATGTTCAAGAAACGGTCTGGATCTGTGTGTGGAATCCCTGGGTCTCCTCTGTATGCATTTCCGAAGTATTTCTCCATTTCTCTCTCGCCTTTGGATAGACTGGGAGTTTGTCGGTTTGAGGGATGAAGGAGAACGCACGAATATATGAGGGGTTTTTGAGGTGAACACGGACCAGGCCGGGCTTTGTCCAAAATATTGACCCATTTCAAGCCAAGGTTTTGGGTTGAAAAACATATGATCAATTAGTATTATGTATACCATGGTGCACCTATTGCCCAATCCACACCCAACACAAGAAGTCCAAACGAAAAAAGCCCATGAAGTGTTTTTTTTTGTTTTTTTTTAATAATAGTTCCTCCTCTCTCCAACTGTCAAATCTATTTAAGTTAAAAAAAATGTCATATCTATTTTTATTTCATTTTAAAAATTTTCTCTCTCCTCTTATAAATTAAAAACCTTTCTCAATGAATTCTTTGTATTCTCTCTCTCCTCTCACCATTTTTCCCTCTCTAAAAACTGCAATCTACTATGACAAAAGACAAAAAACACACGAAAACACCTTCAAAAAAATAAACAATACTTAACTTTTTTTATTTTCCTATATTTATGTTAAATAAATTTGCTAATATGATTCAACAAATTGTAAAATTGAAACTATATTCTACTATATAATTATCTTTTTGACTTTTTTAAAATTAATTTTTTTTAATTTTTTTTGGTTGAAAATCAAAATTATTTGCTCCTACCGAAGAGGATAAAGATGTGTAAGTAATTTATTGTTTAAGTTCACAATTTGTTTTTGAATTGTACAATTAGTCAAATGTTCAACAACTAAACACCAAAAAAAGAAGAAATTCGATGATGTATCCAAGAAAAAACCAATTGTTAAAAACTTTTGAACCCCAATTACAAACCACTGAACACCCTACAAAGCCTCTGAACCCCTACAAAACTTTTGAACTCCAACCACAAACCACTGAACACCCTTCAAAAACTTCTGAACCCCTACAAAAACCTTTGAACCCAAACCATAAACTACTGAACACCCTACAAAAACCTCTCAACCCCCTCAAAAAATTTTGAACTACAACCACAAACCACTGAACACCCTACAAAAACTCTGAACTCCCTACAAAAACTTTTGAACCCCAACCATAAAACACTGAACACCCTTCAAAAACCTCTAAACCCCCTACAAAAACTTCTGAACCTCAATCACAAACCACTGAACACCCCCAAAACCTCTTAACCCCCCTAAAACTTCTTAATCCCAACCACAAACCACTGAACACCATACAAAAATCTCTTAACTCCCTACAAAAGTTCTAAACACCAACCACAAACCACTAAACACCCTTCAAAAACTTCTGATCCGAACCCTTACAAAACCTTTGAATTTCAATCATAAATCACTGAACATCCTTCAAAAACCTCTGAACCCGCTACAAAAACTTCTAAACCACAATCACAAACTACTTAACACCCTTCAAAAACCTCTGAACCCCTAAAAACTTCTAAACCCCAACCACAAACTACTAAACACCATACAAAAATATCTGAACCCTCTACAAAACTTCTGAACACCAACCACAAACCACTGAACACCCTAGATGAACCTCTGAACCCCCTACAAAAACTTCTGAATCCCAACCACAAACCACTGAACATCCTTCAAAAACTTCTACACTTGAAGACACTGCTCAGAATGCCAAATGTTCAGATTTATAAATTATAAAGTAGAGAATGCCAAATTTTTTAATAAAATTAAAAATACATAGATTTAAAACAAAAATAAGTTCATAAGTAATTTATCGCATGTTCAAAATTATAATAAAGATGTTCGAAATTCCAAAAATACATGTTATGTGTTTACAGAAAACGTATCATACGTTCACATTTTTAACTTAAAATGATCAAAATACTAAAATATAATCAAATACAGAAATGTTCATAACAAAATGCACAATTATCACTAAAAAATTCAAAAGAATATAAAAGCTACATATTTCGAAACTCAAACCTAGCCATGGTGATTTAAATAATGAAATCTCATGAAAAATAATCTCACCATCGTCTTAACCACCTTCTACTTGACGACGACGCCATTTTTAGCTTCACTTCATTGTAAAACTCCATTAACAAAGCTTCAAATCGAAGGTTGAAGAAAACAAAATTTGAATTTAATCTATTATAATGAAGAAATTCACTCTATGGTGATTAAAAATACTAAAGAATTCAATTAAAAAGATGATGAACGAATTCAAGAGAAAGAAAAATAAAAAGAGAGAAAAATAGAGGAGAGAGAAAATAAAAGAAAGAAAAACCAGAAATTAGGAAAGTAGAGAAGGAAAGAGAATAGAGATAATATTTTAATTGGTGGTTCACATAGAACTATATGCACTATGGTGCATCTTATAATTTGTCCATACCGATTGTTATTTTGGGTTTAATATACCAGGTTTTAAGGCAAAAATCAGGCTGAACTAAAATTTAAAACCAAAACGCAAAAGAAAATTGTAATCGGGTCTAATAGACATAAAAAGTCTACTCCACATAATCACATCCCACTTGTGGACAATCGTTGGGTCTGTTCGGCAAAGGTAGGTGTAGCTGCTGGCTGTTAGCTTTTGAGCAGCTGTTAGCTGTAGAGGTAGATGTGAGCTGTCAGCTGTCAAGGTAGCTGTTCATAATATGAATGTTTGACAAAACTAGTTGTTGAAATTATTATTATTATTATTATTATTTTAATAATAATAATTATTATTATTAGTGGTAGTAGTAGTAGTATGACATACCTTAACAAATCAAAGAAACTTGTATACTTTTTTTTTCCTCCTTTTGATTCTCAAATAACATACGAAAGTATAAATTTAATTATGATTTTGAAAGAAGAAGATGGAGTAGAGAGTTTACATAGCTAGGAAAATATAACATTATATAAAAAAATAATCAGGTAGAAAAATATGGTAGAAAACCTAATATTGTGGTTGACTGGAAAACAAATACACTGAGTATAAAAAGATAAAACTTTTGTTTTTTTTTTAAAAAAAAAAATAAGAAAGATAATAAAACCTAAAAAATAGGTTGAACGCTAGTTTTTTTTTTCAACGCTGGGCGTGTTCGGCGCTAGCTTTTGAGTAGCTTTTAGTGGTTTGACCAAGTCAAACCACTACTCAACAAAAAATGTGAGTGTTTGGCAAAGTAATGGTTCAAGTAGCTTTAAGTGGTGGAGGTAGCTTTTATTAAAAGTTAGTATTATTAGCTTTTGAAGTTTGAGATAGATTTTGAAGTAGCTTTTGAAAATTTAATGTATAATTTTAAAAATAAATTATTGATTCTTAAATGTAACAGCTAGTCAACCACTACTTTACCGAACAATTATACCTAAATTATTTTTTTTCACAGCTAACAGCTTGTTGACAGCTAACAGCTATCTCCACAGCTACAGCTACCTTCACAACTATATTTTGCCGAACATGCCTGCTATCTTTTCTAGCTTTTATTAACAGCTACCTACAAGATACCTCCACCTCTAACAGCTACTTAAGTCACTACTTCACCAAACAGTAATAATTTTTATAGGTAGTGTTTGGAATAAGTTCAAAAGCTAACAACTACTTCAAAAGCTACCGCCGAACAGGCCCGTTGTAGGCCAACAACGATTGCCCTACAACGATTGTCCACAAGTGGGTTGTAGATTAGACTTTTCATGTCTACATACATTCACCTTTTGACATTCTTCCTTCATATCTTGGATTCTCTTGTAACCTCTCATTGAAGTGAATGTTTATGATGATTTAATCACCTTTTGATGTCTAGATTCATCCTCTAGCTTGAAAACTTCATCCTTATAAATTTGGCTTGGTTATCTTCTTCTTGGATATACATCATACACAAAAAAATTAGCTAAATACATTTGTTCCTTGGGCATAAGTTTATATGACTCCACCTCTCATCCAAAAGTGTCTTTGAGTGAGAGTGGTATGTAACCTTAGGGAACGTAGCGGCGATATAATGTGCACCTCAGTTGCGTCGAAATTCGTTTTCAAAGGTAGTGACGAAGTCACGCCACACCATCTTCCTTTTAATCAAACAATTATAATATTCATGTTATTCGTAGTCTTTGAAACACTTATTTTACAACAACCACAACACTATTAGGCTTCTTCAATTTCTCTTTCGTTTTAAAGAACTTTTGGGCAATCTAATAGCTTGCATCAAAATTTCAAACATGCTTTGGATCTTATTAGTGGTATTTATTTGGAATTTATGATAATTTTTATTGTCTATAAGATTTGGTGTCTTTAACTTTACTCTTTTATTTACTTATTTTTTTTATTTTTTTTATGTATCCCTGTACTATTATATGTTAATAAAGGTTTGGATTATATTTTTTTATTATAATATAATTGATTATTATGGCTTTTGTATTTTTCTAAAATAATGATACAAAATTTGAAAGTACATGTGGAGTTTGATGGACCGATTTTATTTTTGAAATAGTATATTTCATCATTAGATTTTGGCTAGCTTATGGATATATATGGTGGGAAATACGTTAGATTATTTGCGAAATAATATTTTCATAAGACTTTCTAGATATTATCTCACTATAATTGAGGTTAGTTATATGGAAAATGAATTATAATTAATGAACTAATTATAAATACTACCTTTGGTCCATATTACTCGCAACTTTAGGGTATTATTTGTGAGATATAAAATATTCCAAAGTTGCAAGTAATTTGGACTGGAGGTAGTATGATATCTCATTCGTCAGATATTAGAATAAAATATTTGATATAACATTAAAAATTAATATTTTATAAGGTTTTTTAAGGAAATTTTGTCAGGAACTACCCAAAGATGAGGAGTTTTGTGAACAATTACCGTTATATTATTATTATTATTATTATTATTATTATTATTATTATTATTATTATTATTATTATTATTATTATTATTATTATTGTTTATCAACAACTACCCCTAAAATGTATAAAGTTAATTTAGCACTACTCTCTAACGAATTTCGTTCATTTGAGTTGATTGTAGGGCCCACACCTACATTTGTCACACAATTTTCCATCAATTTTACCTTTCACAATTAGGCCCTGTTTGGTTTGATGTAAAAGGTTT